GAGCGCTGGGCTGGGAAGCTGCCCGCAGCCTCTGCAGCGCCGGTTCGATCTCCGGCCTCCAACGAGGGACCCACATGGTGCGCAGACCTCTCCTGCCGCCCGCTGCTCCCCTCAGCAGTGTCCTTCGGTCCCTCTGCCTGCTCTGCTCCCCGCTCTGGCTCTGGTGAATCCTCTCACCCTCCCGCGCTTCTGACTGGACCCAGTGCTTGTATGAATAAGTAAATCTTTAAAAAAAAAAAGAAATAGTCATAAAATAAGCTACTGCATTCATTACAAAAATGCTGTGGAGAATGTTGCTTTTCATAATACTTTATACCCTTAATAGGTTTTCGGGGTGGGGGTAGTTCTTGTATAATTCCGTGCTATTAAAAGCTTTTGTTTGTTCTAAGACCTGATCTAGCTCCTCCTTTCTGACCATGATGGAGGCATCGCTGAGTGTGGCTTTGGGTTTTAATTGCAGAGGTGGCTGCCAGGAGGCTGAACGCCAACCGAAGTTTCTTTGAACATTTGTGTATTTGTATGATCTTCTTTTTCTTGATCCTTTTGTGTCTTTTTCTTTTTTGTTTGTTTGGATTTCATGTATCTTTTGCTATAAACCACCTCAAAGCCTTTGTGGCACAGGTAAGGCTTTGATCAGTGTCTGTACCAGCGTAGACGGTGAGGCCGCTGCAGGGTCCAGCGAGTCCCTCTGCAGGGAACAGGAGTGATTAACTCAAAACCCCTGCGTGGCCCCCGGCCCCAGTCTGGGTCTTTGTCCTGGAGCCCGGCCCTGCAGCGCAGACCTGTGGCGTGCCTCTGGTCTCAGCAAGGGCTGAACTCACTAACCCTGCCGTCCTGGCCTCGGGGTTTCATCAGCTAGAGCTGGCCTTCTCGGCTGCCTCGTCCCCTTCCTGCTCAGCCTCCTTCCACGCGCCTGGCACTCTCCTCCCGGCCCATCCTACGCGGCTTTCCTTACTGTTGGCCTTGCGACCCGACCCGACCCGGCACCAGCTGTGACCCCTCCGGGACTCACCGCCTGCGGCGCGGCAGGCGGGGGCTGGCGTTCTCTGCCAGCTCTCCTTTCCAAGAGCCGGGGCGCCAGCGGCCCCCTCACTCGCTTCTCAGGGCTTAACCTGCCTCAAGTCCCAGGGCGCGCGCGGGCCTAGGGCTTAGCATCGTCAAGACAGCTGGCTCTGAAATTTAGAGGCAGACGCGAAGCTCTCTGTCCTCGGAGGCCGCAGACCTCCTCCCGCGCAGCAGAGCAGCGAGCTGGTTCGTCTCTGCTGTCCACACAGATGAGCCCTGCCGAGCGCTGCGGGATCGTAGGACATGAGTAAGGTCAGCACTGCAGAGGCGAGAACTGCATTTCCGAAGGAAAGCGAGTGAGGGACAGGTCACCCAGGGAGAGGGGACGCACACTTTGCCAGAGACACCGTGGCTTTGGGGCAGCCACCATCCCCCCAAAACATGCCTGCAGAGCACTGTGGAGTGGGACCAAGACTGTGCCTGGGGGCGCGATGAGACAGGCGCCCGCTCGCTGCAGCATGCTCCCCGAACATCCACTCCAGCCAGGGCTTCTCTCCGTGCTCAGGCGTCCGGGCAAAGCCAACAGACCCCAGCTGGTGACCACCGGAGCTGCGGGAGGGACGCGCGTGAGCGGGCAGGAGCGCAGGCCGCGGGCAGGCCGAGCTGGAGGCGGGTGAGAGCAGGACCAAAGGGGAAGTGCCGGGTGTCAGGAGGCGCCCGGAGGTGGCGGAGCGGGGCAGGACTGCAGGAGCCGTGGGGACACTCCTAGGAGAGAGGAAGGTCGTTGGCAAAGACGCATCCGGTCCCTCTGACGGCAGGAGAGAAAGAGGAGGCACAGGGAACGCCGAGCCGTCTGGACTCCCAGCCACCCGCCATCCTGAGCCACTCAGAGGGACTGCAGGCCAGCTGAAGAGCAGCGGGGTCTGGTTCGCTGCCGGCGCCAAGGGCACGCTCTCCGGAGGCCGAGGAAAGCGCCGTCTCAGCCGCCCCAGTTATCACGGGTTGGGGCAGAAACCCAGGCGGTGACCTTGACGGTCCGAGCAGCCCCCGCCACCAGGTGCTGCGGCAGTGCCGAAGGCCCTTCCTGGGCAGCAGTTACAGCCCTTCGAGGGCCATCTCTTCCCAGCAGGCCCGTCCTCCCCACGACGCAGAGGTGCCATCGCCCGTGGGGCCTGCAGTCACCCCCTGGGCACTCGGGCCAAGCAGCTAGACGAGGGCGGCCCCGGTGCAGGAGCCACTGTGCTCCCCAGGGGGGCCCGGCAGGAGGCCACAGTCCCCACAAAGACGAGCTGAAGACATGAAACCAGGGGCTGCAGAGAAAGTGACTGCAAAGTTGGGTCTGCTGGTGTCACGTCACAGGACCAGGGCCGGAGAAAACCAGCGGCTGGGTCCTCGGTGACCTCCCAGCACCCTGGGCCTCTAGGCCGCCTGTGCGGGAGGAGTCGGGCCGCACCAGCTCCCGGCTTTGCCCTGCACCCCACTCCTTCACGTGCGGGCTGGGATGCAGGGGAGCCCTTGAGCAGGGCGGGTGGGGGCCAGGAGAGGGGGCACCAGCGACACTTCGTGGGAAGATGGGGGCAGGCGCCTCCGCACCCGGCGGCAGAGCTGCCACATCCAGCAGCCCACGGGGTCCATGCCGCGCCCATGGGATTTTATTATTTTAAAACACGTATTTTATGCGGTGGCTTCACGATCCTGAGCCCATTCTATTCGTTTTTGCAGATCGAGAAACACAGGAGGCCGCAGGCCAGTCACGCGAGCCCCGAGGCGGCGCTCCCTGTGACGTGGCCCCGCAGGGCTGCCGGCCTGGGAACGCCGCTGCCATTCACTCAGTATGAAATGATTTGGGGCTGGTTTTGCAAAATATTTACATTTATGGACCCGCTTGTCCTTGAAATATGCAGTCACATTCCACACTGCGCTCCTCCGGCCGCTCCGCCCCGCTGCTTTCGGCTCCTTGTTCGAGCTGGTGTCCAGCAGCAGCTGACCCTTCGCTAGTTTCTGTCCGGTGCTTCTGCACTCGCTCTGGCTCATTCTGCCTGTGGGAAGATGGGCCCAAAGATTTGTTCCATGCGATTCCATGGTTCTTGCCAAGCTATGTGGCCAAGCTATGTGGGCACGGAGGACATCTCAGGAAGGGGTCCCGGATGGACATCTTGACGTTTTTTTCTTGTCTGATTGAATGACAAGTTCTTTGGTATATTTTATTTTTTTTTAATTTTATTGCATAGAAGAGCTGGGGTGCAGGCTGCAGACCAGAGGAATGGGGGGCAGTGAGAGGACTCCCCAGAGACAGAGCGGGGAGCAGAACAGGCAGATCCACTGAAATCCACTGCTGAGGGAGCAGTGGGGACACGGCAGAGGTCTGCTGCGCCATGTGGGGAGCTCCCTGGCTGGGGATGGAACTCAAGCCACCGCGGTGATTGTGCTGAGACTGAGACTTAATGCCTAGGCCGCCACCTTGGGGGCGAGTGGGCCAGGTCCCGAGCTCGTTTTCTCAAGCAGTGACTGTGGGTTTCTAAGTGTTCCACCCCCCGGGGGTGCCTGCTCCCCATCACATGCCGTCTGCTGACAGCTCCGGCCGGGAGGCTCTGGACGTGGTGTTTCCGCTGTCCACTGTGTCCTCCGAGGCGCCGCCGGTGTCTGCGCTGGTGAAGTCCCACCTGCCTGGTCTTGCTTTAAAAAAAAAATTATTCATGCATATAACAACTGGGGTGCAGGCCAGAGGTGTGGGGGGTGAGAGGGCTCCCCAGAGACAGAGTGGGGGGCAGACAGGCAGATTGACTGAAACACGCTGCTGAGGGGAGCAGCGGGCGACAGGCGCCCTGTGGGGAGCCCCCGGGGATGGACGGGGATGGAGCTCGCCGCAGAGGCTGGGGGCGCCTTCCCATTGCTGACACGGACCCGGGCCGGTCCTGCCTCTGCTCCGGTTCTGGGGGTGCGTCCGGGAGGTCACCACATGCAGCACTTTCTTCACACAGTTGTCAGGACAAATTGAATCTAGTTTCAGCCTCGTGATTCTGTTTATGCCCGCGAGGAAGTTTTTTTGTAACAATTCATTGTCCGATTTTTTCTTTTTTTTTTGCAGAAACAATCTGCGCGCGGGGACAGGGCCCGGCGGCCAGCGGCGCCCCTCGCGCAGCCTCCTCCCCCGACGCGCTTTTCGCCCCGGCGCCCCCCACCGGGCCCCCCCCAGTCCCCTGCGCCCCCCGAATCCCCGCCAGCCCCGTCCTGCCCTGCGGGAGCCGGGGTCTGGGGGCGCCGGCGGCCCTGTCCCCCGCGGCCTGTCCTGCCGCGCCCCGGGATGGCGTGGGGGCTCCCCCCCCCCCCCCCCCCCCCCGAGGGCGTCTCCCTGGCTGCACCCCTCGGCCCCCGCCCGCGGCTCCCGCTGTTCCCGGCCCGTCCAGCGGGTCCCCCGCCTCCCCGCGCCGCCCCCCCACTCCCCTGCCCCGGCCCCCCGCCGCCCCAGGGGGTCAGGGCTCCCCGAGACCCCGGCCCGCGCCCTGGACGGCGGCCCCGCGGCCCGGCAGGAACAGCTCGGCCGCGGCGCCAGGGCGGGGGGCGAGGGCGGGGGGGGGGCCGGCCCGGGCTCTCAGGGCGCCCCCCCCCCCCCCGTGCCCCCCCCCCCCCCGGCCGCCCCGGGCCTCGCCGGGGACCCCAGGAGCCCAGCCGTCCCGGCCTCCCGCCGCCCGCCCCAGGACGCGCCCGGCGCCCCCCCGGGCCCCGCCCCCTCCGGGCCCCGCGACCCCCGCCCCGGCCCCGCGACCCTGCCCGGCGCCCGCCCTGGGGTCCCGGGGCCCGGCGGCGGCGTCGGGGACGCGCGGGGCGGGCGCGCGCGCGGGGCGGGCGCGCGCAGGGCGGGGGCGCGCAGGGCGGGGGCGGGGCGGGCGCGCGGGGCAGGCTGGGGGAACATGGCCGCTTCCGGTCTGCGGGCCCGGCCGGCGCCGGCCTGAGGAGGCCCCGCCGGCCCCCGCCCTCCGCGCCCGCCGCGCCGCGCCATGGAGAGGAGCTCGAGCTGCGAGAGCCTGGGCGCCCCGCCCGCCGCCGCGAGGCCCCCCAGCGCGGACTCGCTGTCCAGGTGGGCGCCGGGGGGTCTCGGGGGGCCTCGGGCGGGCGTGAGGCTGGGGGCCCGGGCCGGGGGTCTCGGGGGGCCTCGGGTGGGCGTGAGGCTGGGGGCCCGGGCCGGGGGTCTCGGGGGGCCTCGGGCGGGCGTGAGGATGGGGACCCGGGCCGGGGGTCTCGGGCCTCGGGCGGGAGGCGAGGACGAGGGGCGCCCGGGGGGCCTGGGCCGGGGGTGTCGGGGGGCTTCGGGCGGGAGGCGAGGACGAGGGGCGCCTGGGCGGGCCTGGGGGGCCGGGGCGGGGCAGGCGCGGCGGGGGCGCTGGGGGGGCGCCGGGGGGCCGCCCGGGAACTCGGCGCCCACCTGGGCGGAGGCCCCGGGGAGGCCGCGGCGCTGCCCGTTGCTCCGGCCGGCCGGCCCGGCTCGCGCTGGCCTCTCCCGGCCCGGGGCAGCCCCCCGCGTCCCCAGCCCAAGTCTGTGGGTTCGGCCCCCGGTCCGCCCTTCCCTGTCTCCTCGCGGACTCCCCCGCCCCTGAACGCGGGCGTCGCCCGGCGGCCTCTCCCCTCGCGGGGTCCAGGTGCGTCTCTGCGGGCGGGCCGTCCTGGACTGAGGGGTGGGGGCGCCGTCCTGGAGCGGGGGGGGGGGGGAGGGGGGAGAAGCCGGCCTGGACCGGGGGGCGGGCTGTCTGCGGCCCCCCCCAGGCCCGCTGTGGACATCAGCCGCGCTCGCCAGTCGGGGCTCGCTCTGGTTCTGGAAAAGTGATTTGAATTTCGGCGGGGACGGCAGAGGCGGGTGTGCCGGGCCGCGGCGGTGGCTCTGTTGTAGAGCAACCCCGATACAACACGGGGTGCCTGACTGGGTCCTCACCCGCGCGCTTAAAAGCACTTATCAGTGCTCCACTGCAGGCGCACGCGGAAGGTTCATAAAAGGTTTATTGACAAGGGAAGGGGAGATGAGGAAATGCACAGCTCTGGGAGAAAAGTGGGAGACAAAGTTTTAAACGCGTCCGACCCGATCCGCCGATCAGGAATCCCAAAATGAGAGCTGGCGCGAGCCAGGAGCCCTGAAGCCTGGAGGCAGCGACAGAGCGAGAGACCCCCAAGGCCCGCGTGTCTGGTTTTTATACCCGACATGGCTGCCCAACTCCACCCTCAGGTCCCAGCCACCCTCCCTTTGGTGGAGACGGATTTGTCTTTCCCAATGTCCTGATGGCTTTGGTCTGGCGTGGGGGTGGCGTCCACAAAGCCTGTATGGGATTAGCGCAGGACAGCCTCTCCCCCTAACAGCTCGGGGTCCTGGCCAGGGAGCTCGTCTGCTTGTTACTAGGATTATTAGAGCCTCAACTGCTGTGTGGACAACGCACGATTCCCCCCCCCCCCCAAGAAATAGAAGTTGCTCCGCCTGTTTAATTCATTTTGGGCCCCGCGAAGTCTGAGCCTCCCTGGAGAGTCGCAGACAGCCATCCACAGTTGGCTGCGCCTGGGGCGCCCAGAGAGGTCTGCCCCCCCGCTTTGCAGAGCCCGGGGTGCTTGTTGGTCTCCGGTCCTCGGGGCTGGCGCCCCTCTCCCGCAGACCAGGACTCTTCCTCATCGTCATAGCCGCGTTTAACGGAGAACCTGCTTGTCAGAGCACGGCCATCCTATAGTCTCTAGAGTGAATGCTCCAGGATGGGAGCATCTTCTCTGCATGTGCTTATGCATGGGGTACCTTTGCTTCGGGTGCTTCTTGCATTCTGTGTTTATCACTCTGAAGTCTAGAAAACTGAGGGTTCACCTACCCAGTTGAAAGTCATTCAGAGAACAGGTGGGAAATTTATAATTGGATGGGAAAATTGCAAATAGCAAGTACGGCTCAGAATAGAACATAAAATAAAGCAGCTAATAAGTTCATCGGAGGGAGGAGGTTTAGATAGAGCCCCCGGAGGCAGCGCGGGCCCTTAAAATGAAGCGAGTACTGCAGGCTGGGAGAATCGGCCTCTGGAGCTCCTGGCCCAGCTGGCTGCCCTTGACCTTCCTGGTTTGTACTTTCCACGTCTTTCACGTACAGTCTTTGCTAGAAGCTTTTCTTTCCACGTCTTTTAAAATAACGAAGTTGATCTAGAAAGTCTGTCAGGCCCCTTGAAGTGCTAACATTCTGTTAGGTGTCATCGTCACGACAGTGCTTCCTAAGGGACGTGCATTCTTACCGGTTACGAAGTTATTCCCGTTATGAGTAGCTGTAACGTGTTTTTGAAATTACACCGCATGTGATTACAGACTAACGTACTTCGTGGCGCTGCTTAAACAACACTGGCATTTATGGACAGAGGAGCTTGAAAAAATTAGGGTATTGGAAGCCTTTTTTTTTTTTTTTTAATAATAAATTTTATTTTTATATTCCCCATAAAATTGCAACCCCCCATTTTGATCCCAGTCCCTCCCCTTCCGCCCCCCACCCCCCAAAAAGTGTCTCTGGTTCATAGTTTTTTGTTGATTTTGATTTTCACTTTCTTATAGTTAATCTTTTTCCTGGTCCCTTATTTAAGTTTTCTAGATTCCTGCTATGAGTGAGACCATCCGGTATTTTTCTTTTTCTTTCTGGCTTATTTTGCTGAGCATGATCCCTTCCAGCGCCATCCATGTTGCTGCAAATGGCATGTGTTTATCTTTTTTGAATGCTGAGTAATATTCCATGGTGTACATGTACCACATCTTCTTGATCCAGTCATCTATTTTTGGGGCATTTGGGTTGTTTCCAAAGCTTAGCTATTGTAAACAGTGCTGCTATAAACATAGGAGTGCAGGTGCTCTTTGGAATTGATGTTTCTGTGTCCTTTGGGTAAATACCTAGGAGTGGAATTGCTGGATCATATGGAAGCTCTATGTTTAGTAGGTCCAGAAATCTCCACACAGCTCTCCATAGTGGTTGGACCAGTTTGCACTCCCACCAGCAGTGCAGGAGAGTTCCTTTTTCTCCACACCCTCGCCAACATTTGTTGTTGCTAGTTTTTTAATATGTGCCATTCTCACTGGTGTGAGATGGTATCTCATGGTAGTTTTGATTTGCATTTCCCTGATGACAAGTGATGTTGAACATTTTTTCATATGCCTGTTGGCCATTTGCATTTCCTCTTCAGAGAAGTTTCTCTTTAGCTCTTCTGCCCATTTTTTGGCTGGATTATTTTCTTTGATGTTGTTGAGTCTCATCAGCTCTTTGCAGATTTTTGTGATCAGTTCTTTATTATTAGTGTTGGGTGCAAAAATGTTCTCCCAGTTTGGAAGCCTTTTGACTTAGGAAAGTTACCCCCGTCCTCTCTGGATAGAAACGGTCTGACCTGACTTTCCGCAGAAAAGGGACATGCACCGAGTGGCTGTGGACGGGACTCACCAGGGATTGACTGCACCTGCTGTGCGCCTGGTCCGCGGCAGAGGGCGGCTGCTCTGTAGGCACTTGCTGGAAAGTGCCCCCTTCAGCTCCGTCCGGCTCAGTGGTTCCCGGGTGATGCCAGCATGGGCAGGGCGGGCAGCCCCATCGTGAGCGCTCTGGCTGCGGAGGACTTGTTTTGTGACTCCTTATTCCAGGATCGAAAAGAACTTAAAATTCCTGCTGGATACGGTCCAGAACAAAGGAGAATAATCATCAGAGTCATCCCGTGCATTCTTGTGCAAGGTTTTGGTGTGTGCTGACGCCGAGTGTGTGCCCTGCACGCCTGTTCCTCCTTCCCCCCGTGCTGTTTGTTGTTGCAGACTCTGCTGCTCCCAGCCCAGCCGCATCAGCGCTGCTCGGGAGTCACGGAGAATACGGGTTCCCCGTCTTGCCTCAGAGCTGAGGGAGCGGACAGCCCTGGGGCTTTCCATTGTGGGGGGAGCCTGGGCTTTATTTTAGGATGCCTCCAGGGGCTCCCGAGGGGGATCCATGCAGCGGTTTGAGATCCTCTGCCTGGGATCTGTTACTAACTGGGGCCTGGTGACCCCATCATTGTCGGTGGACGCGCAGCCGAGCTGTGTCGCGCCCGTTCACTGCTGCCTGAGAGAGCCCTTGGACTCCGGGGTGGCGTGGGGAGGGGAGCGTCCGCCCCCCGGGTCTGTGGTATCTGGTTTTTAGGACATTTCCTGAGGTCTGGTCTTTCTCAGCCACGAGTAACACAAACCAAAAATACACGTTTTAGGCTTTTTCTCAAAACGAAGCCCTTGCCGAGATGTGCCCGCGGCAACCCGCGTGTAGGAAGGCGCTGGCGCCCCCCACCCTAGCGAGGAGGCCTGGGCGCCTCCTGTGGACGTCCTGGGGCTGCGGTTTATTGGGGGCTGCCAGCGTGGCGCTGTTCTCCAGAGCGCCAGGGGGAGCTTGGCTGTGCCGCAGGCAGCGACAGTGGACGTGTCTCTAGATGCCCCCGCGCCTGCGGACAGGGCGTTACTTTACAAGCCTCCTTGCGCACAGGGCGGGCCGAGCCGGAACTGTGGAAGGAGAGGCAGACGCCGGGGCACGGCCGGGGGCCTGGAGATGTTCTCCTCGCGGGCCGCGCCCGGCCCCTCTCCGGGACCGGAGCTCTGGCGGGCGGGCGGGGGGCCCGCCCGCCTCCAGCCCCATCCTGGCCCCCGGGGAGTTGCTGGCGGCCTTCCTCCTTCCAGAGACCCCTGTGCCGACTCCTGGGCCCGCCTGATGCCGCATCGGGGCAGAGGCCCTGTTTTCAGCAGGAAAAGTTAACTTTTAAAATGCTTCCATCTCTATGCCTGCAAGCCCGCCGGCACCGAAATCAAACAGCGCCAATTTTCTTTCATTTTTATTGAGCAGTGTTTAAAGTTCGGGCTGGGTTGAGCAGGGTATAACAGAAAGTCCAATAACTGTGGCTTAACATAGTTTTGTTCCCCCACATAGAAGCCACAGATCGTCGGTGCAGCTCTGATCCCGCAGGCAGGCAGGCCCTCAGCTGGGCACATGCCGTCCCCGCGCCCACTCCGCATCCAGGATGCCTGCTGGGGCTCCGGGCGGCCTGTCTCCATGCTGGTCGAGAGGCCACACTCCTCGTGGGCACTGTTGGA